GCCCCCCCCCAGCGCCAGGCACTCCAGGGCATCGAAGTACAACCACTGGTCCAGCGGCAGGAACTTCCCGGTGATGGCCTGGGGTGAACGGGCAGCAAGTGCCCTCTCGTGGTCACCAAATACAGCCGGAGAACGGCGCGGACACGAGCAGCAAGACCCCCGGGCCGGGGATCCCCTCCCTGCTCACCTTCAGCACCTCCTGGGCCGCCAGGGCCCCGGTGACAGCAGCCACAGGGCACAGGTCCCCCGCGCTCACGCTGGCGAAGGCTCGTACAAGGTCCTCGTCCAGGGGACCCTGCTGTGTCCCCAGGCTCCGCGCCAGCTCCAGCACCCGCTCGGCATCCGCCTGCAAGCAGAGGGGAGAGAGCAGCTCTGGGCAGAGTTGTGGGGGTCTAGGGGTCTGGACTGGGGCAGGACGGAGACTCACCAGTGCCCTGGGGCGGGGCAGGTGGCCCCGCTCCCTGCGGAAAGCATGGAGGGCCTGGAAGGCAGCGTGCAGGCTGTGGCTGCGGGGCAGCGCCCCGGGATTTGCCACCGGGATCTTGGGCTCGCTCAGTGCCTGGCGCAGGGGTTCCTACCAGCACAGTGCCAGGGCCTGGATGAGCTTCTCTGGGGCCAGGGTGGTGAGCACAGAGTGGCACAGCAGTGCCATAGCCCAACTGGCACCATGAGGCCAAGGGGGACTTACGTAGGAGTATTCCTGGGGCAGCCGAACCTGTGAGACCAGGCCCCCACGGCGGTAGGGTGAGAAGGAGCTGGTATCCCCAATCTCCAGCCTGGAGCCATCTGGGGATGAGATGGGGACAGACATCAAGGTCACCACAAAGGATCCAGTGAGGTGTCCTGGGCTGGGGCAGCTGGGTCCCCCCAGACAACTCACCCAGCACACGCACAGGGACAGGATCACAGCCATTCAGCTCTGTCATCCCCTCCACGCCAGAAAATGTCACCAGGTCACCATCACAGAAGGCATGGTCATAGCTATCCTCTGTGCCCACGCATGTCACCACACCTGGGTTGCCCTGAGGAAGGAAAAGGACATGAGGACAGGGGACTATACACAGGTGACACAAGGCCACTGGAAGATGCAGAGACGTTCTGGGGAGTCCACCAAGGTCATTCTTCTACCTGGGAGATGTGCTGCACAGCAGCAAGTGCCAGGTCCTTTCCTTCTGGGTTGTCAGTGATGAAGCGCTTCCCTAAGTCACAAAACAACTGCCTGCAGAGGAACAATGGGGTTTTGCCAGAGAACCCACCTCACCAAGTTGCCCAGGCCAAGCAGCCCCACCAGCAGGACAGGAGCAAGCAGGGTTGCAGGCTCTGGGAACAAGGAGACCCGGAGCCATCGGCAGGACCGTGCAACAAAGAACTCTTACCCGGCCAACCCTTTGGCATCAGCCACAATGAAGCAGATACCATGGGCATGGCAGAAGTCTCCAATGCGGAGCTGTTCCTCCAGCAGGGACTCGGTCAGCACCACCACCTACACTGCAGCGTTAGCAGGTGCCACCACTCAAGGGGGCTCTGGGGTGCAGGGGCATGGGCTCACCTTGAAGGAGGTGAGGAAGTCCTCTGACAGCTCCCCCGTGTAGGCCACCACTGCCACCTGCGGGTTCAGCTCAGCCAGGGCCCATCTGGACGTCTCAGCACGGTTCTGGCCTATGTCGCTCTCCCCCAGGAGGAACTGTGGGGTGGGCACATGGTGGGGCACCCCACTGGTTTGGGGTGCTGTCACAGGGCCCTGCCCTCACTGGTGGGAGGCCCTCTGCTGAGGGCCACACTGCGACACAGGTGTGCTGGTTTGGTTTGGTGGGATTTTTGGTTCATGGAGGACTCTCTCCCATAAGAGGGACCATGTGGGGAAGCAGGGGAGGACTGTAAGGAATCCTTCTTGAGAAGGAAGGAGCTTCTAGCTGGCCTCTGTCCTCCCCACCCCCTAGTGTGTTGGGGGGAAGTTGAGTGAGCAGCCCCAGGGCTGTTTCTTTGTTGTTGTGCTAGGCCCAAACCACAACTCACAGGACCTCCTGTGGCCTTACCTATGATGATAAGGAGCACCCTAGGCCATACCCATGGCAGGGATCTCCTGTTTTACACTCCTTGGCAGGACGCCCAGCCCGTATCTGTTCCTGAGAGCCTCCCCACCCCATACCCATACCGGCTACAGGGATACCCCAGCTGCATCCACACCCACTACCAGGACCTTTACCCACACCCGTGCCTGCTACTAGGCTCCCCTCCCATATATCCACCCATTATGGGGACCCTCACCCATAGCTGTACCTGTTACTAGGATCCCAACCCATACCTGTACCCATTACCAGGACCCCTACTTATACCTATGCCCATTACTGGGACCCCCACCCGTATCTCTACCCATTACTGGGATCCCCAACCAGACCTGTACTCATTACTGAGACCCCTACCCATACCGGTGCCCATTACCAGGACCCTTGCCCATAGCTTTACTTGTCACTGAGACCCACCTCTCAGTAACCACACCTCTACCGGTTGTGGGGGC